TTTTTTTATAGTTTCTAGTTCTCTATTGGATTTCCTGTTTGTTCATTATGAGCTTATTTTCTTCTACCATCTTGAGCATAGTTATAATAGCTGCTTTAAAATCCTTATCTGTAGCGGGGGGCAAGAGCAACATACGTAACCTAAACATCTATACTCCCATAATATGCCGAAATAAAAAAAAACAACAATTAAAAAAAAATCCTTATCTATAATTCTAACATCTAAGACATCTAATTCACTACGTGGAAAATTCAGTGTGAACGTGAACATCTATTCAGTATGAGTAAAGAAATCATACCAAATGCTAGACCTTGTCCCTTTCTGCCATATCTCTCTAGGATAGTTTCCAGAAATGTGCTTGTAGCAATGCTTGCTGATTGCAACCTGGCTTCCCTACCTACCCTAGAACACTTGCAGGGGCTCATGCAAGTGAGGGACCCTAGAACCTAACCTTACTTGGCTATGTGGTAGACTGGCCTCCGGCATATAATAAACCTGTTTTCTGCTGAAGTAGTCAGAGCCTGTTTCTGTTGCCTGCAGCTCAGAGCTCTGACTGCTCAAGTAGCCACCCGTAGGCCAACCTCTGCAAAGGTGAGTGGAATGACATGGTTCTGCTGAGGTGGACCCACCTCCTTGAGCTGACACGAGAACAAAACCAGAGTTCCCTTAGCAGAGAAAAAGGGGATAAGGGCTTTTGGATAGGCAGCCAGCACAATCTGCCACAGCCAGAATATGAATATTTATTTGAAATTTCCTCTTGGTAACTAATTCAGTTAACAGTGACAATTTATAAAAACCACTATGAACCCATCTGCAGACATCATTCAACTATAGACCACTGATTTGCAGCCTTGGGAATAGGATTTGGGTGTGCAGAGATGTAAGGGAAGCAGGAAGCAGTGGGAACAGACGAGGAGATGGGAAGAGAGGGGCTTCCTTAATGGGGGCAGAGTAGGAGACGAGACTGAAAATTTGGGGCCATTGCAAGCACAGTGAAGCTTTATTAATATTTAGCAAGATCAGGATGAAATTGTTGGTTTTTTAAAGATATAAGTCACATACCATACATTTCACCCTTCTAAAGTATATGATTCAGTGGTTTTTAGTACATTTACAGTTGTTCAACCATCACCAATGTCTAATTCCGGAACATTTTCATCTCCCGAAAAAGAAATCTCTTGCCCATCAGCAGTCACTCCCCATTCTTCC